CCTCCACTTAAAATAATGGCTGTACATCACAAATGACAACCTAGTAAATAAACGTGATTAAATGAAGTATCTTATTCCAGGGAAATCTTTATTGAGAATTCAGAAGTGATTTTGCACAATAATCACTCAATTGCAAATATTGCAAGTACACAAATATTGTCACAGAGACATAAAAGAAAGGAAAAATAAGCAGTTAGGCTGTTTAGGACACAAATTATTACCTTCCCAGTTCACATAATCCAGAAGGTGGGCATCAGGTATGCAAAGACAGCACACTTTGACATTTTCGTATCAAATGTAGTTAGAAAAATAAAAGATCAAAATTAGAGTATCAGGATAAACCACGTGGGCACATAAAAGTAAATGTGTGTATTTATCCATAGATAAGCGGGGAGTATGAAATAGCATGTGTCTGTGGTTAAAGCACAGCTGCTTAAGAGATGTATTAAAATAGTTACCTAAATAGCCCCTTAACTTAGCAGAGAAGTTCAAGAAATCTTACGTAGAGAAAGCTGGTCGCCATGAATGAATGCCAGAGCTTTCGTTGGCCACAAGTTTATAAAGCCCTCAAGTGAGCATGGAGCCCATACACCACTAGGTCCTGTGACATGTGACCTGCCTTGTGTTTGTTAGCAAGTACCACGTGTTTGCTCTTCCTCCATATGATTTAGTTTTAATGAAGACACATACTGACCATTCATATTTTGACAAGGAAACGTAGGAGTCCATGTAGATTTGGGGCTCTATGATGTGAAATTTTAAATTCACTGTGATCGTTCAATGAGCTAGCAGCCTTTTGTTTTTAAAAATGACGTAACGTGTCAGTAGATCTTGCCTTCTGGGATTCAACGCTTATATCAATAAAGTAAAAAAGGGTTTTGTTCCTTTGTTTTTGTTTTTCAGGTATATAAAAGGGGGAGTTTGGGCCCTTTATTTAAAGTCAAAGTAAATTCTTAATTAAGCAAATGTATACTTTGTGCCTGAACTAGTAGCCTTCATTCCTAATTGTTGTGTGATAGCAGTAGTTTTAAAAGTTCTCTTCTTGTATCTGGTAGCTCATTACTTTCTTCTCACCTTCTTCCCTTTCCCTCTGCCCACTGTGCCCCATCTCCAAATGCTCCTCCTGGGCACTAGAAGTCCAGCTCATCTACAACCACTGGGGAAAAGATCACAAAGGTATACGAGTTGGGGAATGAGCCCGAGAGGAAGCTATGGGTCGACCGATACCTCACCTTCATGGAGGAGAGAGGCTCCCCGGTCTCAAGCCTGCCTGCGGTGGGCAAGAAGCCCTTGGACCTGTTCCGGCTCTATGTCTGCGTTAAAGAGATTGGAGGTCTGGCACAGGTAGGAATGAATGAGCGACTGAATAAGGAGACATTACAGATCTCTTTGAATATACAGGGTCGAATTCTTTTCTCACAGAGAAAAAGCTAAGCCTCTGGGAAGGTCACCTTAACTGGGATCCATGTTTGTGTGCTGCAGGGGCAGAGCACTGAGGACCAGGGACCGAGATCTGCTGCCCACTCGCAGGGTGACCTCAGTAGGTCCTTTATATGAGCCTCAATCCTCACCTGTAAAATGAGACATTTGGGCTGGATTTTTCATTAGGGTTCCTGATAGCTCAAGAATCCTGTGGAATCTGTCAGAATTTCATAGTAAATAGAAATGTTTTGCCAGTGACTGAATTGTCTGGATCAGATATAAATCAAATTCACTGTTTCCTTCTTTCCAGAGCAGTTCAGCAAGAAAGATGGGTCAGACCTGTAACCTGGGTGATGAGAGAGGCTGTGCTGTCCCTTTTTCACAAGGCTGGGTCTAGTGTGGGCAGGAGGGGCGCCTGGGGTACAGAATCTGAGAAGGTGCTCATTCTGGGGGCTGTGCACTTGCGCCTTCAGTTTTGTGCCCTGGAGGCCACGCTTTCCTCACCCTAGTCTCAGCCCTGTTTTCGGCACTGGGTCTAGTTTGTGTGTAGAGTCGGGGAATGGGTCCTGCGGAGTGAGTGCCCGCTACATGCTGGGCACCGTGCTTTTTCTTGTCACGTCTTTCTCAGCACCCATAGCATGCAGGGTCATCAGCCTTGAAGAAGAGACGTAACAAAATAAAGTCCAGCCTTCCCTTGGGATCCATGGGGCTTGGTTCCGGGACTCCCAAGGACACCAGAGTCCACAGAGCTCAAGTCCTTTATCTATATAACCTACGCACAACCGCCTATATCTCTAAATCATCTCTAGATTACTTACAATAGCCAATACAATGTAATGCTATGTAAATAGTTGCTGGTACAAATTCAAGTGTTGCTTTATGGAACTTTCAGGAATTTTTTCCCCCGAATACTTTCAGTCTGCAGTTGTTTGAATTTACAAATGAGGAACCTAGGGACACAGAAGGCTGACTGCCCAGTAATGTCGTGGCCCACGGGCTCTCAGAGTCAGTGGTAGGGCCAGGTCTGTCTGATTCCAAGACGCACACCCTTTCATCAGCCTCAGACCTCGCTGTTCCTGAGCATCACCTGGGAGCATTTAAAAGCTGCCGGTTCTGGGCTCCCACCCAGATCAGTGAAAGGAGCCACTCCAGGCCCCAGGTGCTGCAGGCCTCACTGTCCAGCGGCAGATCAGCTAATCCACAGGTATCGCTGAGGGCCCACCTGATCCCAGTGCTGCACAGCTGTGGGGCTGCAGGAGCGGCCTTTGTTCTTAGCCCTCCATGGGGTGCCTCCTCCTGCCTGGGACTGGAGACCTACAACAAACAATTAGAGCTCGCCTCAAGGCTCTGCCAAATCAGATGGTAAATCACAGGATACAGACCAGGTGTGAGTGGTGGTCAGTGAAGAGAAAGGTCAGGATACACACCTCTCTCCTGCACTTAAACCCCCTGACCTTCCCCATCTACACCTAGACACCCCTGACGCTTCCCCTCTGGGCATAGACTCCTCTAACCTTCCTCCTGAACCTAGACCCCCTGGCGCAGATTTTGTAGAATCCCCAGGATGCTAAACAGTTGGGTTTCGCCCATCTCAGAAGCGCAGGGATTGGCTAGCACCTCACTTTGACTCTCAGCAGCGTGTATTCCTGAGTTGGGTCTGTGAGCAAGACCGCTGGCTTAGCTAAAACAGTTGCTTGAATGTAGCTGTGATTCACAGCGGTGAGCCCCCTGGTGGCATTGTCCCTCACACCCCATCTTGAGCTCTACCTGCTGACCATCAGGTGTGGCTGGGACAGGTGCTGCAGCTACGGAGAGATCCACTCAAAGCCTTGCTTTCCGGGATGTCCCAGGCAGTGCTCTGGTTACCATTTCTGAAGCAATCACAGGCCTGCTTGTTGCAGCCTGGCATTAAGTACCAAAAATGGCATTAAGCATTCCCAAAAGTATTCTGTGGCTTTATCATGCACCATTTAGTACTAAGCATGAACATAAAGAGCTTTGTGAGAAAGTTTGAATCAAAAAATTGAACATTTCATTAAAAGTCATTGTCCCTTAACCCATGCTACTTAACAGGACACATCTAAAGGCAAAATATTCCCCACCTGTTTGCAGGCCTTCGTGTTTCCTTCATGTGTTGATCTCATGGAACTCTGTTCCCATGTGGGAATCGCAAAAGTTAAAATAATGCTTAAAATCCTTATGTAGCATTTGGGGATTTCTCTCCTTTTTTCTCTTCTCTTCCTGCAGCTGTATTCTCTCCAGCCTAAGTGTAAATGGCAACACTGGAGAGTCCTGTGCCCTCCTCAATCCCACAGGTGCTGCCGGGTCAGCTACCTGGTGGCTCCACAGCTCAGACAGGGCTGATGGCTTGTGCCGGGCTTTTAAGTTGGGGTCATTTGGTTGAGGCTTCATTCACCACGAGGAAGCCTCATGTGAGAGGAAGGGCGTGGGCTGGAATTATAGCCTCTTTCTGGGAGCTTGAGGGCTGTTTGAAGGAGACATTGTTTTTCATTTTAAGGCTTAAACACTTAAATTGCAAAATAGTTCTGTTATTGCTTTTTAAATTAGTTTTTAGACGCGCTTAAAAAAAATAAATAAGAGGTGGGATGGGTAGAGTGTGAGCGAGAGGGTACATTTGCTCAGAGATAAATCTCCGGCCCTGAGCAGCTCCAGCCCTGGAAGACTGCGAGGCATTAGAAGATGCACCAGGCAGAAGAATCTCCACCAGCAGTGCTCTTTATGTAGCTATCAGCAGGTTCCTTAATGGTTTTATAACTGTAAATGCTGTCTGTGCACTACTGAGTCGGAGTAATGAGCATTAGTTAAAAGAGGCAAATGAAAAAAAAACCAAAAGTAAACCAAGACATTAAGTGCTTTTTTTGTCTCCTGGCTTTTAACAAGCCACTTTGCTGCAAACCAATGATCCTGCCATTTTTTCTTGCTAGGTTAATAAAAACAAGAAGTGGCGTGAGCTGGCAACCAACCTCAATGTGGGCACTTCGAGCAGTGCAGCAAGCTCCCTGAAGAAGCAGTATATTCAGTACCTGTTTGCCTTTGAGTGCAAGATTGAGCGAGGGGAGGAGCCCCCGCCGGAAGTCTTCAGCACGGGCGACACCAAGAAGCAGCCCAAGCTCCAGCCGCCATCTCCTGGTAAGTGGGAGCACTGCAGCTGCCGCCCAGGGCCCGCGCCCGCCGGCAAGGACCCCGCCAGCGCTGAGGAGGCCACTCCCTGGTCGAGTGGGCCGGGAGCAGACCGGGATCTGAGAGACGAGGGGAGGGCGCGTTTGGTTTTGCCTCGTCTGTTTACTTGCCCCTGCCGTTGGCAGTCCTTAAGGGAAGAGAGTCAAACTCAGGATGTTGCCCAGATTTCTGGTCAGCACTTCGAAGGCGTCATTCTTTTGCTTTACTTTTTTAAGTCAATGTTCTCTTTGGAATTCTGACCTGTATACCTTTATTCCTTATACAGGCATTTTAAAAGAGCCCATCTAACTGTCAAACTAAGTCTCCCCAGTAACCTGTGCAAATACTCTGGCGCCCCTGGCAATGCCGCCCTGCACACTTAACAGCCCTCTTCCGCCAGCCCCGCCTCTGGCAGCGGCCCTCTGATTCCTACGGTTAGCAAAATGAAATTCGGACTTAGCTTGTAAGTTCTCACTTGTAGGGAATTCAGCCAACTGTCATGATAAAAGTCTATCTTTTTCTGAGGATGAGTCCAGTTAGCTTTGACCTAGAGGTCAAGAATCTTAGGAAAATGCTACTTAGGAATAATGGCGATTCACTTAGCTTCTCATAAGCACAATCTAATTAATGATAACCTGCCTTCTCCCCTACCTCTTCACTCGACTGGTGGAGACCCTCCCATTCTTTCGGCTCTCCTGCTAGCCTTTGTTCTACCTGTTAGTGTTTCAAATTTGAAATTACTAAATCATTATATTCTGATAAATACAATATTAGAGATGGGAAGAAACTTGCATCATCCTTAGCTCTAGGTGGTAACTTCTCTCAAATTAAATCTGGTCATTCTGTTTTCTGCTATTTCTGGCCACGTCCAAGCCCTGCTGGTGGACCAAGTGATGGTCCTCACTTACTCACCTGCATACAAGGTGGGGCTGCCTAGAGCTGCCACTGCTCCCACCACGCCCCAAAGCAGGCTTGTTCTGCTGTCAAGTGATCATACCTGATTGCCACAGTTCCTTGAGCCCTTACGGTGTGCCAGGTACTTTTCTAAGTGCTTTATCATTTAATCTTCATATTAGCCTTGTTATTCACTGTTCTAAAATCCCCGAGAAAACTAAGGCACATAAAATCTAAGTAACAAGCTCACAGTCATGTCGCTAGTGTGTGGAAAAGCTGGGCTTTGATACCAGACATCTCGCTCTAGTGTTATACCCTGTACCTACCACACTCCGGCCTGTGTTTAAAGTAGCATTGTAACTTGTAACGGGTAAACTCTTTACACATACAAGGTATCTCTGAGCCAAAGAAAGGAGTTGTTTCTCCTTTAATTATTTCCTCTAGTGGATATCGGGATGGCAACGCTAATATCTAAGGCCACTAATCAAGGGATCTCCCATAAATACTTTTTAGGCCCAAGGTGCACTTGTAGTGAGCATACCTAGGTATAGATCTATTGGTTCTAAACACAAGTAGAAGTCCTCCTCTCTAACCCCACCCTTACAGACTCACAGCCTTTGCCAGTTAGAGATGAGAAGGTGTACTTTAAAAACTGTGAAATCTAATTTTTAAAATCTCACAACATTACATTCAATTCACAGAGTAAAATAAGCTGTCTGTGAACAGCTCTGAAACTATTTTTCCAAAATAAAAACCCAGTGGGGTGTAGGGACCAAAGTGGCAATGTCTGCAAAGATCTAAAGGTATATTTTATTTGCCAGAAAAGAACTCATGTCGCTGAATGGTCCGCACTTCTGTATGGAGAATAGCTCCCCCAGTGTGCATCAGCTTCAGCACAAGGAGTCCTGCTGAGGTATAGATGCTTCAGAAAGTGCAGGGCCTGTTCTCTTAACAGTCGGCTCTTTCCTTTCCCCCCTTTTTTTAAACTACCATTTTTATGGCAACATTATCGCTTTAACGACACAAAAGAGCTTGGATTGCAGATGCACTTCTGATTAATACATTCTTCTCCGTGGTCCAAATGGAGCCCTAGTCCTGTGAAACAGGAAGCAGGGGGAAGGCTTCCTGGGTTTGGCCATTCGGCCAGGGCGCTGCCTGGAAGGCACCATGCGGGGCGCAGGGGCCAGCATGCTTGGCTTACGTGTTCTGCACGTTGCTCAGCAAGAGAGACGGACACACGGGCTGGTCAGTGGAGCAGTGAGTAACAAGCCTCTGAGCCAAAAGCCAGGTGTTTCCTCCAGCATCTGTGAATCAGTGACCTCTTTGATTCCAGAACTATCAGTAAGGAAAATGTCTCTGAGACTTTTTTATTATCAGAGAAGGAAAACAAATTATTCCCTATCATTTGCCATGTCAGGGCCTCATATAACTGCAAAAAATTTTTAAACTAACTTTCAGCCAAAGTTTGTGTTCTTTGACGTCAGTTTTTTTCCCAGAAGAACATAACTGGTTTTTATTCCTAAACAGGATATCCAGGCAAACAGAAAGATCCCTGAGAAGCACTCCAGGTGGTTTTTCAAATGGTCATTCCGAACCAACTTAAATCCTAAGTGCTAATGACTTAGCATTCTAAGTCATCCATCTGTATTCCAGTTTTTTTTTTTCAATAGAGAACTAATGTTTTGTTATTTAGATCTTTTTTTCACTTCTCAGTTTTATTAGGTAGAGTTGTTACAGTTTGACTGCACATATACAATATATTGCATATAAATACATATACACAATATACTGCATGTATTTTTAAAATTTACATATATATATGTATATATATATATACTGTTCATTGTTTCTGAGAGTGTTTAGAGCTTTAGCTTTTTAAACTTACATAGTTATCAAAGGAGTAAAACCAACCACAAAATAAGAATTAATTCAAAAAGACGCATACACCCCACTATTAACAACATTATTTATAATTGCCAAGATATGGAAGCATCCTAAGTGCACATCAGTAGATGAATGGATAAAGAAGATGCAGCATATATAAGTAATGGACGTATTCCAGTTTTGATTTGATGTGGTTGATAGGGCTCTGAAATTCAATCCTGTCAGCCCCGTAGCCCTGCGGGCTGCACCCCAATCCTCACTGTTGAGTGGCGTGTGGCTTCTCAGGCCAGAGATCCAGGTGTGTCTTCCAGGGGGACTGAGAACAAGTCAGGGAAAAGAAGGCTCCTCAGAGAAACCTGAGCAAGGCCTGGGGTAGGCTATGTCTCTGAGGTGCCTGTGGGGATCTTATTATAATCTATAATAGACTGTAAAAGTGTGTGGAGTTCTAATGAAGAGCTGCCTCAAAGCTGGAGTAGGGGTGGGGCGGGGCAGGGGTGGGGTGGGTCAGGGACCAGCCGGGAGGGGTTGGGGGAGATAGCAGGAAGCTCCACATTCAATTAGTAAGTCTGTAACCAAAAACCCATCCATCTTTGCTGGCAGGTGGCTGACTGCATTTCTATTATTAGCTGACAGGTGATGTCACAGAGCCTGTGTGGATCCAACTAGGGAATCCTCAGTGGAAGATAAATGAGAAAGGGGCTCGGGTTATAAACAAAGGTGCCCTCTGGGTGACCTCCAGTCGCTGTAGACCTGGGACCTATCAGCTATTCCTCCTCTCCCCACCCTCCTTCCCGCAACCCCAGCCAGCACCCGGGCACCAGGTTCATGCTGTGTAAATTATCTTCCCAGCCAGGAGTCTGGCTGTACAGTCTGAAGTGTGTGAATGTACTTAACCTTCAGTAACCTTTCCATTGTTTACTTTCGAGTATACATTTGTAGCTTCTGGCAAAAGGTAGGGATATCCTAGAGAGCCAGCCTCCTGTATTAACGGAACTTCAAGAGGTTACATTCATTTTTTTTCTCTCCTGAAAGGAAAGGAAAAAACACTGGCAAGAGGGGAGAATTTTTCCTTTTTTTTTTTTTTAATTAGCTGTAAATGTGAATACTTGTAAATAAGGGTCATTCTGAAATCACAGCCTTGTGGGCCATGTTTCCAAGGAAGCTGTACGGGCTGCCGTGCAGTCTGGTTCTTGATTTAAGAAGCCAGTTACTTCTCCTGCCAGCTCTCTGGGGCAGTCACGTGTGTTGGGTTAGCCTTATATATTTGTAAAAGACTCTACTTTTCTCTTTTATCTGCTTTTTAAATATGCATTTCCAGGGTTTCACCAGAGTTTGGTTTATAAGCATGAGTTGGTAGGTTTTTATTTTAAGGTGCCTACATCTAAGAAGATACGTGCGTTTAACGTCAGTCTTCCTGACATCTCTGAGAAGCCCTAGGCGCCCAGGGGGGACGGTTGTGGAATGTCCTCCTTGCTGGCCAGTTATCAGCACTGTTGCTGACCAGGCCAGGATCAGCAGCCCTGATCTCACTAGAGATGCCTGGGTTCAGCTGAGGCTTCTGAGTAGAAGCAGTAGACTCATTTCCATTTCTCACTCCTTTGTAACACACTCTGGTCTCCAGTGATTTGTGTAACTCAGCCTCGTCTAAAGTAAAATGTGGATGGTGGTGATTGTAGTGAGCCTGTGGAACTTCATAGCTAAGGAACTATAGGTAATAATATATGCAGTATCACTGTTTACAAGCAGCTAGTTACAATTCTGAAAGTATTTACTGTAAACTGTATGAGGGCAGGAATTTTGTCTTTTTTGTCAGTGGGGTGCATCCAACTGTAGGAGAGCCTGCAGTAGAGCAAGCACATTATTCACTCAGTTAGTATTTGTTTAGTTAATAAACAAAACCAGTATCTATGAACACCTAACATGCTGAGGACTGTGATCAGTGATAAGGCAAGAGCCATTAAATACATGTTTTTCCTAGAGAGTGGGGTTAAATTTTTTTTTCAATAATCCCACTTAAGTTTTAAAAAGATCTGCTCAATTCTGAGCTGTTATTATAATATAATTATAGTTAAAGGCCAAGTCTTAAAACTCTGATAATGACATTAAAGATCTCCAAACCAACATGACTTGTGTTATATAAATAACAAATACGATTTCATGGCAGAGCATAGACACATTCAGACGTTGAGAAGGTGTTGCAGTCATGTGAGGCGTATTAGTAGTTCATATCATTGCTTTACAACTGAAACGTTTGTCATTGCCTAAGACCCAGGTTAATTTTCCTAATTTTTTTCTAAAATAGCACAATAGTCCATCAAATTGATACACCAAAATTTTCTTTCCATTTTTTCTTATTCTCAGACTTTTAGGGCATCTCCATTATAAACAACACTGAAATAAACGTTATTCTGCCTAAAGCCTCCTTTATATTAGATTATTTTCTTGGGATAAATACCCCGTCAAAAGTATATATGTTTCATGGCTCACATATGAAGTGTGTTGCCAACATATGAAGTTTTAGTAAAAAAACTTTACTGATTTTCACTATAAACAATGTAAGAGCAATTAATTTTACTACAGTGTTACCAGCAATAGATATTGTTACTATTTCTAAATAAGATGGTATCTTATTTTCTTTCCTTTTTTTAAAAAAATAACTATCAAGGATGTGGTTACTTGATAACCTCTAGTTTTCCTCCATTTTTTCATGATGCTACTACTATCAGCTAACTCAGGATCCCTGCAAGGTCCACAGACACCCCAGTCAACTGGCAGTAATTCGATGGCAGAGGTTCCAGGTGACCTGAAGCCACCCACTCCAGCCTCCACCCCTCATGGACAGATGACCCCAATGCAAGGTGGAAGGTATGTTCAAAGATCTCTGTGATACCACAATAAAGATGTTTTTAAAAAGATCTCCGTGAGCTGTACGAAAATCAGATTTGTCCATCTTTGGATTTTCTAGAGCAGACTTTGCAGAGAGAGGAAATGTTCTCTAGTGAGTTTTCAAATATTGATTACCACTGTTTACATTCACGACGTTTATTTTGGAGGGGTTTTGCATGTACAGGTTTCAAGATTGGCTTATTTTCCGAGTAAGTGTTTGGAGGAGACTAATGCTCTGTTGCTAAGCTTTCCTGTCTCTCTCTCATCAGAAGCAGCACCGTCAGTGTCCACGACCCATTCTCAGACGCGAGTGAGTCATCGTTCCCAAAACGCAACTCTATGACCCCAAGTGCCCCATACCAGCAGGGCATGAGCATGCCAGACGTGATGGGCAGGATGCCCTATGAGCCCAACAAGGACCCCTTTGGAGGAATGAGAAAAGGTAAGTGCTCGGGGGCCTCTGTGCAGGCTCGGTCCAGAGGGCATTCCTCTGTCTGCCATCCCATGAGTCACTGATCCTTTCGAGACGTACTTGGGTCTCAGCTTGCCAGCCTACTAAATCTCTGGCCTTGGAGAAAGTACTTAGCATCTCTGTGCCTCAGTTTCCTCATCTAGGAATTGGGATAGTAATGAATGGGTCCCGAGGATTGAGTTAATGCACATAAATACAGCCCATAGAAAGTGACCATATCCTAAGCAAACGTGCTCTCAGTCCTGCCTTCTGTCGGTGTCATTGTTGTCACATGGCGTGAGCTGAGCAGGGGGCTGGGGACTGGGTAGTAGGTTGGTATATCAGACAGTCCCTCATGGAGTTGATGGTCTACAAACAAACAAAACATAAGTTAAACCACTTACATAAGATTAAAGATTGTGGTTGATGGAAGAAGGGAAACAAAAAGGAAAAAAGGACATGATGTTGGGTGGGGACACTGTGGAGAGGGCCATCGCCTTAGGGAGGGTGACCAGGAGGGGCAGGCTCTGAGGAGAGGCCAGTATCTGCTGAGACCTGGGCAACAGGGAGTCAGAGAGGAGTCAGGAGCTGAGGAGGCTGAGGCAGGCGTGAGGCCGGTGTGTGGGAGGAGGCGGAAGGCTTCTGTGGCATGAGGAGCAGCGGGCAGGCTGAGCGCCTCGAGGCCGACGGGGCCAGAGCTTCTCAGCCTTTGGAGGCATGCTGATGAGGTTGGGTTTTTACCACAGCTGAAGGATGTTACCCAGGAAGCGAGGTGACTGGGTTTTTTATTAAAAATAAATGAGTAAATAACTAGACACTTATGGAGAATGTAGCAGAGAGGTGAGGGTAGAGCTGAGGAGACCACTGTCATTGTCCAGGGAGAGGTGATGGTTTGGAGTCAGACCCTGGCAGAGAGAGAGAAGTGGAACCACTCATTATATGTTGGGGGTAGAAACAATAGGACCGACGTGCTGATGGACTGAACAAGGGGGTTAGGGAAGAAGGACTAAGTGATGGTGGACTGAGAACATGGTGATGTTACCACCTGGGGTGTAGACACCTGGGAAATGAACAAGATAGAGAAGGAAATCCAGTGTTGACTGGTGGATATGTCCAGGTGGTAAGTGGTAGGGTGTATGTCTGGAGCTGGGCAGCACATTGGAATTAGGTGCAATCTGGGAGACTAAGCAGAGAAGTGGTATTGACCACTGTAGGATGGGCGAGATCGCCGAGAGAGTTGTCACTGATACTAGCAAGCACCTGGGGTGGTTTTTCCCTCTGTGTTTATTAGCCCTGAGACTGTAGCCACCTAAGCCGCTGCCCTGTGAACTCCTCCAATGGCATGCAGGCTCCACCTGCTGTTGGCACTCTTCCAGATCCATTTGGGTCCTGTGAAACTGAGATGTGATAGCAACATTTTCATAATATTGAATAATATTTTTATGGAAGTACTTATTTTGGGATCCCTTTCATAATAGTACTTTTGCTGTATTCAGAGGTTTGGGGGACATGAATTTCTTGATACACTGTCTTGAGTAGAGAGAAGCGTAAGGTCCAAAGCCTTGGTTTTCACAAGTATTACAGAGCAATGAAAAATAAAAATGAATAATCTCCAAATTTTAAATGTTGGGCATATTACCATTTTAATTAACAAATGAGGTTATATTTCATCTATATTTCAACATGTTATACAAAGCAAGATAATCTATAATTTTTCCTTTTAAGAAGTTTCAAAGCTGCTTATTTCAGGTAAAGATTTTGCAGAACATGCAGTAAGTCCCTAAGTCAGAACCTCAGAAGCTCTGTGAATGTTGGAGTTAGCTGCTTTTCTTAGTGGTATGAGATGCTGGAAAGAACATGTTTTAGTGCTTTGGTGGTTGTATAACATTTTTAGACTCTGAAGATATGACAATAGCATGGAATCTGGTTTCAAAAGTTACTGTGAACTATTCCAGTATTCAATCTATATGCTATGTTGGACACCAAGAGTTCTCTTTCTTTTGTTTCTTTATGCCTATAATTTTTTTACAATGAAAATAAATGTAGGGATGGAGAGCGGGGGGCTGTGGATTACCTTGGCAGGTATTAGGTAGCTCTGTAATGTGTTTTCATCAACTGTGTAAATGATACAGTGGCTCAGAGGGAAGCTCTGTCTCACGTTTCCCCAGGATGTTTCAGCTCACCTGCTACCGTACAATTCTAGTAGGTTTAGTACCAAGTGAAAGCAGATAAACAGAAAACCCGCAGGACACAGATTTTCTTATAGCTCTATCCCCGTTATGATAAAGTTATCCATTCCTCAGTTCCCCATATTCTGTCAGTGAACTTGGTGGTGCTCTGGTTTTTTCATTTAATGACCAATATGAGTGATATCATGCTGTGTTGTTGGCACTGCTGCTACTGCCGTTGACCTGTCGTGTGGTGGTGGCGTGGACAAAAGAGCCTGATCTGACTCAGCCGCCCCGAGTAGCCCAGGCCCCACCTGCCTGCCTGCCTGCCTGCCTGCCTGCCCCACCCACTTCCTTAATCCATCACTGACTGAGGGACTGACTAATTGCTTGTAAGTGAACAACAAATGAATATATTGTTTAACATAACAGTATATTTTGAATATTTATTAATGTCTATACACACAGTCCTACCTATTCTTAGTAATAGATCTGTTTTTCCATAATATTTTGCTATTACAATGATGCAGTGGTTATTGAAGTACAGCTGTTTTTTCACAGTTGTAAGAGTGCTTCTCTGAATTAGATCTCTAGAAGTAGAATAACCGAATCAAAGGATAAGAATCCTTTTTTAGTTTACTGAGTATCTTTTACTTTTGTTAACAAACTACCCCAAAAGTTAGCAGCTTTAACAACAGCATTTAATTACATCTCAGTCCTGTGGTGCGTGGGGTGTCTCTTGGGCTCCATGTGTGGTCGGCTGGGACTCCGAGGCAGCTGCTGTCACCTGAAGCCTGACTGAGAGCTTTTCTGGACATGGGGTGTCATTTGAATGACCAGTGTCATCTGGAGGCTCTGTTAGGAACTCAGCTGAAGCTGTAGGTGGGGGCCTCCTCCGTGGGGCCTTTCCACGGAGCTGGTTGGGGGCCTCGTGACCTGGTAGATGGGTTCTAAGAAGGAGCATTCCAAGAGGACAGCCCTGCGCCCACTTACCACCCTGTGCTGCATCACATTTGCCAGTGCCCCTGTGGGCAAAGCTGGTCACATGAGTAAGCCCGGACTCACAGCAGATGGGGACTTCACAGGCTATGAATACCTGGAGATGTGCTTCTGTGGGGGTCACCAAAATACAGCCTACCATAGCAGCTGTTGACAAACGTCATACCAATGTGATACTCATAACATGAGCATTTGTGTTCTCACATACTAAGGATAGTTATTATCAAGTCATTTTAATATTTGCTGATCAGATTGAGGGGAGGGAAAAGCCTTGTCATTTTTTAAACTTGAATTTCTTTAAATATTAGTGAAGTGTCACACATCTTTTCATATATTGATTGGCCATTCATTTGTCTTTTCCTATGAATAGTCCATTGGTATGTTCACCTATTTTTTTAATTTGATTGTCTTTTTCCTTATTGATATTTAAGAGCTCTTTATGTTAGGGAATTAAGCTTCTTAACTTTAATTATCCCGCTTATTTCTATCTCTATTTTTACTTCTGTAAAGTGGAAAGTAACATCAAAACTGGCTCTACTGCAGGTTAACGTAAGATCATGTGAGATACAAAGTATGTGAAATCGCTTACAGAGCAAAATACACTCTCCCAGTGTCAAGCCTCAGTATATGCACCTCTCTGCCAGCCAAACAAATTTTATCAGCTCGCAAAATTTTAATCTGCCTTTATCTCACGGAACATAGAAGTAACCTTCTTAGGATGGAGGAGGGTGGTAGTAGTACTGGATGTCAATTAAGATAAGTATTAAAATGTTTAATTTGCCTACAGGCTAGTTTCTGGGCTTGACCCAGTTTCCTTCAGGCTCTGAGTTGGTGCTACTTTGCATACTTGACCTAATTGACACTCTGCCCCATGTTAGAAGTAGTTGTGTCTCATCCTGTCTTGGGCTGTTCTTAACTCCCTGCTGATTTTCTTCACCCTGATTTTGGAGTGAGTCGGTGGATGGGTTATGTTAAGGTTTTCAGTTTTGTTTTGTTTTTCTCTAAAAGGGAAGAGAACTAACTCTATAGATATTTTATCTCTTCCTTACAGTCATTCCATGAGGTGATATTACCAACTTCATTTTATAGATAAGGAATTAAACTCAGAAGCTCAGTAACTCATTTAAATAAGTATGGATCTGGGTTTGTGCTCTTTTGTATGTAACAAATACACTACAAACTTGCAGCTTAAAACATACACGTGTGCCTTCACAGTGGGTCCTCAGCTTCGGGTCTCAGCAGAACTCAAGCTGTCACCCAGGACTCCATCTTTTCTGAGCTCCTTCAAGTTGTGGAATTCAGTTCCTTGTCGGTTGTAGAACTGGGGTCCTGTTCTCTTGTTGGCTGTCATCTGGGCCTTCTCTGCCCCCAAGAGGCGCCTTCCTAACATGTGGGCCTCTCAGCTGCACTGCGCTGCTTCAAGGCCAGCGGGAGGGAGCTGCTCGCCTCTAGAAGCCAATTTAAAGGGCCCACGTGGTTGCTCTCCCTTTCAGTTAACTCAGCCAGCTGATTAGTGACTTTAATCACAGTTGTGAAATCCCTTTTACCGTGTGATGTAGCGTAATCCTGGGAATGATACCCCATCACAGGCATAGGTTCTACCCACGCTCAAAGGGACCCATTCATACAGCGTGTGCACATGGCGGGCGGGGGGAGGCGGGGGCCTTGGAGGGGTCCATCTTAGCATCTTCCCCAGCAGGGTCCATCTTAACTTCAGACGTTGTGCTCTTTCATTGCTTTTGTCGTCTGTCATATTAAGGATAACAGAAATGACAAGAAAGGAGTATTTGGGCCCTTTGGCTTTTGAAAGTGCTTAATGTCTTGTCTGTTACTGAAAATATTGCAGTGCCTGGAAGTAGTGAACCGTTCATGACGCAAGGACAGATGGCCACCAGCAGCATGCAGGACATGTACAACCAAAGTCCGTCTGGAGCGATGTCCAGCCTGGGCCTGGGGCAGCGGCAGCAATTCCCCTACGGAGCCAGCTACGATCGAAGGTGAGTGTCTCCTGCTGTGGAGATGAGATGATTTACTGCAAACTGTGCTCTCCTCACACACATTTCTGAGCCCTGGCCACTGATGGCAACACTAGTGTCTGCTTTCCTGCTGGAGTGAGTGTCAGGTGGCTGCCTTCAGTCAACAACTGGGGAGAAGGCCTTTATCCTCAGGCCCCAAGTACAGCTGTGTTTTTATTACTGGGTGCCCAAAAGCATAGATTAGAAATATGCCGGGGCTGGGCTGGCCATGGCAAGAGGCTTCTCCCTAAGAGTGCAGAGCCGCGGTCATCCTAGTCACTGTCACCACGCCGAGACCGCCGCCTCCAGCTTCCACGCGTGGCTTCTCTCGTGACCTGCAGCCCCTGCTTTCTGCCGGAGGGCGAGGCCTGGGCACTGGTGCCACCCTGGGCTGCCGGCAGACTCAGGCGGTGGTGAGTTCTCGGTAGGGTCTTCCAGGCATTGCTTTTTCAGATGTTTCCACTGTCCTATGAACTGTCGAAACAGAAAGAGAATACTTTGCCCCTTAATAAGCATCTCCGAGAAAAGCCGCAGCAGGTTTTTTGGGGTTTTTTTCAGAATAGCATCTTGATATTAAAATGGCAAGTTAGGTTGCATTACTGGCCTGGAATATTTTAATAAGATAGAAAGTAAGTCACTGAAATGCCTCTAAGGGGTGACAGCAGGCTGCTTCCTAACGGCGGCTTAGACTGGACTTCTTCCTATGAACGAGGCCCCTGACCTTAGTCCTGCCCATGGAAGCCCATTCCCCTGCTTGGCATGTCCGTTACCTCCCTAATGGAGAAGTGCTCAGAAACAAAGCCTTCAGTTTAATTTGATTTTTAAAGGAAACTAGTGGCGCCACAACAGGAGGCCCTCTTTCTAACCGCAGCCGCATGAGCAGGCCTTAGGGCAGGCGTGGTTTCCATCGTCTCCCTCGGAATCCCACGTGCCAGGGCCTCCGTCAGGCCCCTCCTCAGTCCACATGCCGGGG